AGGCCGGACACAGAGGGCGACGCAGAAGAAGTCAAGTTTATCGAGGAGCTCGAGGAGATGAAGCTGGCGCAGATAAAAGAAGACCGCACCCGCACGAATGAACCAGATAATGAGAGCGACGACGCACACGAGCCAGCAAGAAGCCATTACTTTCTCGACCCCCTCTGATGCCCGACAACCCCCCCCCCATCGTTAAAGCCACAGCCAGGTAAAATCGCGGGCGGAGGCGGCGCAGGAATTGAGAGTTCGGGGCAGAGTCGACGAGACCACGGAGGTGGGCACGACATCGGCGGCGCGTCTAGCGGGGTTCACGGAAGAGGAGGCAGGACAGAGTGCTGGAGCGACGATTGCGAAAAAGTTGACCGACTGGAAAGTTGAGATGGCGAAGCTGACCTTAGCAGAGGTGGCGCCGTCCTTCCCACTAGTCGAAGTCCAGACGGCCTTCAAAGAGGGAGTATGCAAGTTGTTGATGGTTCCGCGACAAGAGTCGTTCAAAACGTCACCCACTTGCTGCGAGCAGCTGGGGGGCACGGTGAAGGAGGGCATGGGGCCTATGAGCCACGTAGAGAGAGTGTTGCAGACGTTCATGGTGGGCGACGAGACTACGGATTGAATGATGTGTGTGGACAGATGTGTAGCAGTGGTTGCGATGCGATGTTGTATGACAGCACGAGGGTGCGAACAGCGGGTGTCACATTCATTGCTTCCAAGCGTGATACTGTACAGTGCCGTTTTTATACATGCTCCGCGAGCGGATCATGTATTTAAAAAAATCAGGAATCTCGTATCAAAAACAACGATGAGATCACGCATGAGTTTTATTCATAAACTAATCATGTATTAAAATTCCGATAGTTTATATATTAGATAAACCGATGTATTAAAACAAATGCCCTGTATCTTTGTGTGGTGCAAGAGACACATCGAGTGCAATGAGTTCCGCGTCTTCGACGCGTGGCACGACTTTTTCTCCGTATGCGTGCCCTGTTTTGGGGTATCCTGAGGCCCGTGCTGCTCCTACCTGTCTGGGGGAGGCTCATACCCCTTTTCGCTCCTTGTCCTGCCCCTCCCGTGGTGTCGTCGTCGTCACCTCCCTCCTTCCCTGCTCCGCCTGTTAAGCGTGCCAGGACTTCTGCGATCAGGAGTTGTGAGGATTGGATTCGGTGTTTGGTGAAAGCCTAGCTGGATCCGCTGCCCGCTTGTTAGGATTCCACGGGTGAGATGCTTGCAGTGGTTTGTGTACGGTTTCGATACCTTGGGAACTCCGGGCGGACGGGTAGTCCGAAATTTGCGGCCGTTAAAGTCGGCTTTAGAGCGTCCCATGCAGTCGAGATCTGGAGCTAAGCCCTTGGAGGTGTCTGATATGATCTGCCCTCTGTTCCCCGCACCACCATTTCGGCACAGCCTTCACACGCTTCGTGGCCCTATAGGGAGCTCCACCGAAGGCCTTGGTAACAGGGTTCGCATGCGGCTCCCCGCCAATTTCGGCACTCCCTCACACGCTTCGTGGCCCCAAAAAAAGCCCCATCGAAGGTCCCAGTGGCAGTGTCCGCATGCGGTTGCCTGCCTATTTCGGCACACCCATCACTCGTTGCGTGGCCCCGGAGCTTCACCGAAAGCCCAAAACGCGGCATTCACAATTGCATTTGGTTGGGACTTGCGCTCTGGTTATTGACGGTGAGTCGTGACCTCGGGGGCGCGACTTCATTGTGTTTTTCACGAGGGATCGTGGCTTCGCGGGGGAGGGCAGTGCATGCAAGGAGATGCGGCCCATGGGGGGGTCCCTCACAGTCAAGCCGCTGAAATAGGGAGCGCTTTGGGCTCAGGAGGGGCTCGGGTTTTCGGGCCGTTCTCTAGGTCGAGGTCCGGGAACCTATTGGTGGCCAAGGTCGACCGTGGCCACAAAAGCCCCTTCACTCATTATTTGGCGTTCCTTATGGTAGCACGACCGTTACATTCGAATACAGAATCCCTACCAGCCAGCCGTTGGCATCTTTCCACGCTTCCATGTGCACAAGGCACGGTGGCGGACAACTTCAATTACCCAGCGCCCAACGCGATCAGCTCAGACACTCTGGTCCAGCGAGACAGGCGCAGCACATATGTCTCTGGGTAGCGACAGCGACGCCTACATCTCACCGTACCCTTGCGGTTGCACTGGTTGCGCACGCTACCATGCGAGCGAGAGCGGGTATTGCCAGAAGCATTGGTGGATGTCGATGTGTTGCCCCGTGTGGCAGCGGATTCAGACTGGCGGTAGTTTGATGGCGTTGCTGTTGCTGGTTGCGGTCACGGGTGCTCTTGAGAGCGAGCGCCTTGGGATTGGGCTCGTCTTTGGTGTAGTGTTCGGCTCGTGCGCAACAGTCCATCTGGTGCAGTCAGAGCAGTGGGCCGAATTGAGTATCGGTATTCTTGTCATTCTGGTCGCAGCCCTTACAGTTCTGAGAGCAGCTTCGGCCACGCAGCGTGTTCAGCAGCTGATGTACCAGCACCGCGAGAG